CGGTTTCCAATCCCTGTGGGTGTAATACATGTGTATTTATGCTATAATTCATTTTTTATAACCACAACTGTTTATACACAGTATCAGTTCATCTTTACAGTTATTTTTAATGACCTGGGGGCGAAGCCCCCCAGTGTGGTCCTATAATTGAATTCACCTTCGCGCTATATCTATTATTTGTATGTCCACACTTACATTTCTTCTATACATGTTGTATTGGAGAAATAACAAGCCTTAGCAACCACCCGCCCACGCTCCTTTACGTGAGTGGGTGTGGTCACGGCAAACAAAATGGCGGCTTACACATGGGACAAAGTTCAGAGCTTTCTAACAGCAAGAGAGCATAGAGATACTGTCTAAAAACTTTTCTAGAAGCATTATAAGGTAGAGAGAACCTCTATTTGTCTTAATAATGACCAAGTTGTACTTGCAAGGTGGTGAAATCAATTATAGGAATACTTTTTACCCTGTTACGCTTGTTGTGTGGTAACTGGCTTCAAGTGGCTAGTATTATTAATGTTCAGTTATTGAATTAATTGACCACACCCCCAATTGTTATGAATAATTAATGAGCCTGGGTAAATTCAAAATTCTGCAGCCACCTATGGCTATAAATGACTTCGGGGGTTATTGCCAAATACAGCCATAGATATTATAGACTACGTAACTGGGATTGGAAACTGATACGTCACATGTACAGACTGTGTGATTATTAATGCATGAGATTGCATCAAATGGTGAAAATCAAGACGAATTGTTATGTTTGATGAGCTGTATTAATTTTCAACTGTGATGTAGCTGGTTCTAAATACATGTAGCTTATTCTCATGAAGAAAATACCAGAGATCTTCTATGCTTAGTTTGCTCGGGAGAGGTACAACAGATCGGCCGCTTTCATGGCGTTATTTTGGTGGATTTCTGCTCTCAGTGATATGGCAGGCAGAACTAACCAGTCTATTCTCATGTAGCATGGCCTTGTGCATAGTTTTAATCATAAAATGAAACTGGGGTAGCTAAAGCTTGTTTGCAGGAGGGAGAATAAGACATTATCTCTTATCACGGGGAGCGCACTTGTTTTAAACACCTGTTTTAACACAGCTAACACATTTTATTTTTGTATCAAAGGAAAATATAAACATATGAGTACATTATAAGAGCCCAAGTACAGGAGAAATAGCTTGCGGGGCTTCACTAGAGACCATTCTTTACAGCCATGTCAAGGATTTTCGTCCGCCTCTCACTGTCACAGAGACTGTACCTGAATAATTACATTGATTTGAATGGGATCACGTGATCAGTTTCCAATCCCGGTTACGTAGTCTAAAATATCTATGATACAGCCTAAACCTACGAATTAATGAGTCTTTAAAGTAACACTGGACAGTATTATTGGCGGCTGTCTGGAATAGATTTGTAAATTTTGCATTATCTTTTTCCAATTACTAAAGAAATGTATGTTACCGTAGGGTGCCTTTTTTCAAGGGCTGTAAATTTCACAAATTTGCCTAAAAATCTATTTTGCGGATTTAATTTTTGTGAATTTATGCCATCTGCCATCTTGTACCGTAATTGTCAGTTTGATTTCGCAGAAGTAATTTTCGCAAATCTTCAAAAAAATGGCAAAATCCGCAAAATTTATAGCCCTTGATAAAAAGGTATCCTAGGGTATCAGTGGCTCATTGTTCATGTGGAATTTATAGCTATGATAGTGGTTGCATGGTTAACTTCCTTGATCAGAAATTTAGAATGCCAACTGCTTAGCAGGGCATGCATGACCTGCCCTTGTTTGTATGATTGTATCATGCATTTTAGTTCTGGAATGGCAATTATGCTGGTATATACATTGTGTAGATGTTAGTCTCTCAAATGAGAATATAGAATTAGGCCTAACTCGATCCCCTACTTATCCAATTTCCATAATGATCAAATCTTATTCGTAATTTCATGATATAGAATTAGTATCTGAACAATCAGATTATATTTTCTTTCCTTTTTCTCTTAATTCTCCTCTTTCAACTGATTCTCTCATAACTAAGTACTGGAGAGATGGGGAACAAGCAAAGTAACTTTGAGAGGCAAACTAGGGAATCTGATCATGACATGGTATGATAGCTAATATTGTCATAATAATAATAATAATAATAATAATAATAATAACTTTACAAGGGAAAGACAGAGTAAGTAACAGTACAAAATGAATACATAGATGAAAATAGTAACCTTGAGGGTCTCAATGATAATACAGTCAGAGAGCCAAAAATAAATAAATAAAAAGAAATAGAGTGAAAGGGAAAGGGAGAATAGAAAATTAAGAGTTATTAATTAGAATAAAAGATTAGAAGTAAGAGAAATTAGGAGGGTGAGAGAGGGAGGAGCATTTACAACACATACAACTGAAGTGATAAGTGCAGGGAAGGTCATTGTCAAACGAATTGAGAAAGTGATTCCACAGAAAGTTCTTTAGCTTCATACAGTTGGTGGCTGGAGAGAGGGAGAGGTCGAAGGAAGGGAGACTATTCCATAACTTAGGTAGTCTATGAAAATATGTATTGGATGTTTGAGAGGTGTGAGAGAGATGGTGAGTGAGTTTCACATGGTCTCCTAATCTAGAGTTGGTGGATGTAAATGAAATATAGGAAAGAATATCAAATGACCCAGTGTAACTGCTATTGTTGCTATCATGGATGGATTTAAGTGCAAATGAAACATCAAGATATTCGAAATACATTGCTAGGGGGAGAATACCCAGTGAGGTAAGGCGTATCTTATAGTCAGATGAGTAATCAGATAAGATGTATTTAGTTGCACGTCTTTGAACTCTTTCAAGGAGGAGTAGATTCTTAATGGAAGTAGGCCGCCATAGCTGGGAGCCATACGATAGTATAGAGTGAACCAGAGAGAGGTACAATTGCTTTTTAACATGGACGTTACTACTCTTGAAGGTCCTTTTTAGAAGACCAAGAACCTTGTAGGCTTTAGAGATGATTATAGTATGGTGGGTAGACCATGATAGGTCACATGATAGATGAAAACCCAGATCTCTTATGGTGTCTTGAGTAGAGATGTCACAACCATTTATCAAGTATGAATAAGGTGGTTGGACAGAGGATTTCCTGAAAAACTGAAGATGCTTGGTTTTAGCTGTGTTAAAGGAGAGATCACTATTTATACTCCACTGAAATGCCCCATCTAGACTCTCTTGAAGGAGAATGCAGTCTCTAGATGATTTAATAATTTGAAAGCACTTTGAATCATCAGCAAAGAGCAGAAGCTTTGATGGAATGGTCAGATCTGATAAATCATTCACAAAGATTAGAAATAACGGGACCAAGTACACTCCCTTGTGGGACACCACTGAGGACATTCAGAAAGGTTGAAGAAGAGCCATTTACATTAACACATTGACACCTTGTGGTTAGGTAAGCCTGGAACCAGTCCCAGAGTACCCCAACAACACCAGAGTTCCATAGCTTTAATAGGAGCATGTTGTGTGACACAGAATCAAAAGCCTTTTTAAAATCCAGGTATATACAATCTACACAACTCTTCCTATCCAGGGCTTCGAAAATACTATCAAGCATAGTAAGCATCTGCTGAACACTTGATCTAGAGGGCAGAAAACCAAACTGACTGGGGGACAGATGTGGGCCGACCAGAGTGATCAGTCTGCTGTATATAATCCTCTCTAGCACCTTGGAGATGATAGGGAGAAGTGCAATGGGACGATAGTTAAAGCCAGAGTGACGATCATTAGATGAGTTCGCCATTCCAGGGGCAGAGAGCCAGTAGAGAGAGAAAGATTGAAAAAAGCTGTTAGTGGGGGAGTGAGAGCTATAGCACACCGTTTAAGCAGTATAGGACTGATTCCGTCAATACCCGGAGCTTTAGATGTATTTAGGGAGGAGAGAATATTGAAGACTTCCTCCTCAGAGCAGACAATTGAGTCAATGCAGGTAGATGGGGTATGACGGTCCTCAATTGGAGGGAGAGTAAAGGAGCTTCTGGTGAAGACTGAGTAGAAGTACTCGTTAAAAAGTTTAGCCTTTACATGTATATTGTCATCAGAAGCATTCTCTGGACCAAATTGATAGACTCTCGGGTATCTCTCTAGATTTCGAAATATGGCGAACATATCGATAAATTTTACTTTGATCATGCCCATGCTCTTTCACCAATCTTTCCTCGTATTTAGACTTAGCGTCACAAAAGGCAGTAGTAAATTCAGCTTCCTCATTAGCTAGTTTCATCTTTATATGGTCAGTCGGGTTTCTGGCGTAGCGTCTTCTTAGAGTGCGGATCTGATTCAGGTTGTGCTGAAGATCTCCTCTGAGCCATGGAACAGAATGATAGGACAAGGAACGCTTCTTAACTCGTGGGATAAACCTTTCAACTGATGACAACAGGATGTCCTTGAAGCAAGACCAAACTGTGTCAATATCAGAATCACTAAAACATTGACTGAAATCGAATTCAAGAAGGTAGTCAACTAGGCCCTCCCAATCAGCTTTAGCATAGTTATAAACAGGGCGGTTCAGTGAAGTCCTAGAGTATCTAGGGGAGGAGCAGCATAGGCGGAAAAACACCGCATAATGATCAGAACTCAGAGGCATAGATTTGGATATAGAAATGCAATTAATAAGAAAGCAATCTGAGGATAGAACTAGGTCTAGAATGTCGCCTTTAATGTGGGTGAGGGAATGTACCAACTGAGTGAAATTATTATTAAAAACAAAATCGCATAGATATAAAGAAAAGGGTGAGTCGCCAGACAAGGTGTCCCAATCAATATCAGGGACATTAAAGTCTCCAAGTATGACAATGCGACCGGGAGACATAGCTAGACAATTAAGATAATTACTGAGGGAGACATTGTAATCATGAGAAGCATTAGGAGGACGATAGAGGACACACAACGTGACTTGATGTACTAGCCCAATATTGACAGTAACAAGCTCCAGGTCTTTGGGAGAGGACAACTCAAAGCAAGGAATATGGTTCCTAATAGCAAGAAGGACACCACCACCCCGACCATCTCTATCATGTCGAAACACTGAATAGCCAGGGGGAAGAAATTCCTCATTAAAGACATAAGGTGATAACCACGTTTCAGTACAGGCAAGAATTTCAATACCAGAGGTTATTATAAAGGATTGTAGTAGAGACATTTTATTCATGATACTCCTGGCATTGATTAGACAGCTAGAGACACCTAGTCAGGCTGGCTCCTGACCCCCATTAGAAGTGGAGATAGCAGGAGTGGTAGCTGAGCCATTATGGATAGGAGAAGGTGGATCGTTGGGAGCAAGGGCATTGGAGCCAGAGCCAGTATCTACAGGGTTATCCACATTTGATGGGAAACTACTGATATTAACAGTTGAAGAGTCAGCAACAGACAGAGCTGAGTTAGTGACAGTAGCATGGAGATCTCCCTTAATATAAATTGACGACTTTCCAAGTCGAATGTCTTGCTTAGGAGTACCATTCTGAATCAGCCTCCAACGTTCTTGAAGCAGCAGTTTTTTGTTGTTTTTCTCTACTTTGGATAGAAACGGCTTGATGACAAAAGGACTAGGGGTAGAGCCACGCCTAGACAACAAAGCAACCATATCTTTAGATCTATTTAGAGTGACCAATAGGGGAGGGGACGAGAACTATTGGGTGAGAAGTGTCCAATACGACGACAGTCTCTAATGGCGGCCTGAGCGACTCCACATTGAAATTTGTCAAAGAGGGAGGAGATACTGTCAAAGTCTAAAGAGATACGCTCGGACTGATTGGTACCTCAGGCACACTCATCAACACCACTAACTACCAGACGGAACTGATTGGGGGGCTGGTTAGATGGAGGAGGGTGGGCAGAGACAGTGTGGGAATGACTAAAATCAGAATGAGAGTGGTGGGTGGATGTAGGACAGTGCTGTACAGAATTGGAGGGAGGTGTGAGGGAAAGTGTGGACAGCTCCTCAGTTAGTGACATAATTCTAGACTCAAGAGCTGAAGTCTGAGAGGAGAATCGTTTCTCAAGATCAGCAAGAGCTTTCTTAAGAGAAGATATCTCATCAGACTGGTAATTAATGCGACATGAAGGGCAATGAAAGTTACCAGAGTTTTTGGCAGAAATAAAATTACTGGAATTTAACCCAGCACAACCCCTATGTATCCAGGTGTTACATGGACCACTACAAAAAATGGAGTCCTGAGTATTGTCATTAATGACATCTTCACAGATAGGACAGTGAAAAGTAGCTTTTAAGTTAGATGGGGCTGATTTGTTGGCTGTACTTGACTTTGGACAAGATGACTTGTTGACTGTATTAGACTTTGGGCAATATGAAGTGTGGGAAGCCAACCTGGCCACCAATTCATTTTTCGACCCTTTTGTCGAGTTTATTCACATAAAAATTATATGACACTGTGCATGTATGTGTGCCTCTAAATTTTAGTCAAATACCTCCTAATTAATGCCGATACCTATTATTATATTTTTATGGACCAAAAGTGCA